AATGGGAACATATTGCTATGAATTTTGTGACAGGTCTTCTAAGGTCACGGAAGGGCAATGAAGCTGTATGGGTCATCATTGACAGATTGATTAAGACGGCTTACTTTTTGCCTATTAAGGCAATAGATGATGCAAAGAAACTTGGTGTACTATATGTGAAGGAGATTGTAAAATTATATAGAGTTCCAATAACCATTGTCTCAGATAGGGATGCCAAGTTCACTTCAAAGTTCTAAGAAGGACTTCAAGCAGCGTTTGGGTCAGCTTTGCATCTTAGACGGCATTTCATCCACAGACCGACGGCCAGTCAGAGCGTACCATCCAGATCTTGGAGGATATACTTCGGGTATGTGTACTTGATTTGGGAGGTAATGGGGATGATCACCTTTCGCTTATTGAGTTTGCCTACAACAACAGTTATTAGGCGAGTATCCAGATGGCTCCATTTGAGGCATTATATGGTAGACCTTGTAGGTCTCCTGTTTGTTGAACTGAGATGGGTGAGACAGCCGCCTTATGACCCGACATAGTACTCGAGACTACTGGGAAGATTAAGTTGATCAGACAGAGGTTGCTCACAGCTTAGAGCCGACAGCAGAGCTATGCGGATAAGCGGAAATGGCCACTATCCTTTGAGGTGGGAAACCATGTCTTTCTTTGGGTTTCTCTACGGAATGGGCTGTTGAGGTTCGGGAAGAGTGGCAAGTTATCGCCACGATTTATTGGATCTTTTGAGATCTTAGACCGGGTAGGAGAGGTTGCCTACAGACTTGCTTTGCCACCACAGTTGGACAGAGTTCAAAATGTTTTTCATGTATCGATGCTATGGAAGTACGAGCCGGATTTATCTCACATTTTGAGTTGGGTTAATGTGGACATTGATGAGGATGTTTCCTACGAGGAGGGACCAGTTCAGATCCTTGACACACAGCAGAAGGTGTTGAAGAACAAGATGATACCACTAGTGAAGGTTCTTTGGAAGCATCATGGAATTAAGGAGGCTACTTGGGAGCTTGAACAGGAGGTTCGCTTCAAGTATCCAGAGTTGTTTTCTCCCTCAGGTATGACTTGATTTCGGTGACGAAATCCTTCTAAGTTGGGGAGAATGTAATGTTTATGACTTTTATTATATATATATATATATATATATATATATATATATATAATGTTAATTTTTAAAAAGTTATTTTAGCTGTGGGACCCACTTTACTTTATGGCTTTATGTGGTTAATGGGATTGTAGACCCATTTTTTTTTTTTTATTTAATCAGTTTTCTCTCTTGGCTAGTTCTCTCTCTCGCTGCTTTTTTTTTTCTTTCTTTTTCTGTTACAACTTCAACTCTTGATTACTTCCTCATCTCTTGAAAATTTTGGATGCCGTTTGCGGCAAAACAAAGAGCGCAGTGAGATCTTCACATATATATAAGCAATTTCAGCTTTGGTGCCTCCTTGAATTTTCGAATCTAGGGCTTGGGAATGGGGGTTTTCTCCTCCTTTGAGATAGGGGTTCTTAATGTACAATTTCTTGCACCTTAGTGAATTTCCTTCTTAATTTTGCTACTTAGCATGCTATTTTTGTTTTGATCTTCTTGTAAATTATTAAATTGTTCTAAATGAATTACTTGACTATGTGCTTTAATTGACATTATGTGTAATAACATGCTTAAATGATATAGAATTATTATCTTACATGCTTAATCCTGTTAGCTTATTGTTGAATGTAAGTAATGTGATAATTTCTTTGAAATTCTTGTAAAACATGTAAAATGGCATGAGTTTGAAATTACATATGTGTTGATAAATATTAGCATGGCATGAAAATATGAAACATACATGCACTTCATTGGAAGAAATGAGGAATGTTGTTTTGAAAGAAAGAAATGGTCTTTTAGAAAAGGTTTTGAAAAGGTTTTTGTGAAAAATCAGGCCGCCTAGGAGTTGCCTAGGGACTGCGGCGTTAGTAAAGCCTAAAGGGGACTAGGGAGATCGCCCTAGTGTCGTTAAGTTACCCGGGCCCCAAATGACGCCATGGAATTGCCATGGGTCAGGGACAGTGGCCAATCCTCTTCTCGTGCCGCCATTGAGTTACCATGGGACGGGTTCAATAACGTTTTGAAAATGATTATGGAAATGGTTTAGAAAATGGGGATTGACATTGCATGGTTTGGCATATCATTGCACGACATATTCATTTGTGGTATCGGATTAATGATGTGGTAGTGTGGTTATATTTTTTTCCCCGGCATGGTAGGATCCCAATTTCTTTATTTATATTTATTGTGTGGATTCACGGGGTCTCAAGAAGTGTGTATTGGGCACTTCCTACTGAGCTTATGCTCACACCTTCATTTTAAAAATTTTCTGGAAATAGGAATGAAGTGGCGGATGACGTTCCACCATAGGCTTAGTATGGATTAAATGATCATTTTGTTATTTTTGTATCTAAGTCTCACTATTTTTGTAAAACTTAGTATATTCTATTATGTACTTAGACTTAGGGAGTCTTGCTATTGTAGTTATATTCATGGCTGTAATTTTATTATAAATTGTCTAAACATTGTAAGACATGGACTTTTGATCTTAACCATATTTTTTCTTGAACTGTAATTATGATATATGATATTTGGATTAAATAGCATGTAGTTGTTCCACCGTGAGCTAAACTATGTTGAAGCAAAATGAATGGATGAAAGAAATTTTGAATTATATTATTTGCATTGTGTTGGGACAAGCTAGGTAAATTTTGAAGGTCCAAGAGAGGCCTTTGCATTTTTATGCATTTAAGCAGGTTGCTGTATGACCCTTTTTAGCAGAGGTCATGCCAAAATTTTCTTCTTTTTATTTATTTATTTTTTTATTTGTATTATTTTAGGTCGTTACATTGCCTGGGATGGATAACTGGATATAGTATATATCTGGGTGCCCTGGTAAGTCTAGGTACACATGCCCACTTTATGTGCGATTTGCATGTTACCTTCTATTCAGGTTGAGACAGACTTATAGTCTAGTGAGCATCCTATAGTGTGTGTGTATCTATATATATGGACTACTTCGTTATTGTCGAGTTGACTATGATGTATACGTGTATCGGGTCTCTGTTTAAACTGTAGTGGAGTAGAACTTGTTCATGGGCCTGACCCACTATTATTTTTTCAGGTGTTCGATAGTTCCAGTCTTAGAGCTTGTTCGTGCCAAACAGAGACAGTCATTCACTCTTCCGACTACGTAGGACTTTTCTTTATATTTTAGTTTTGGATTTGATTACAGTTTAGTTGTTTATTTTTCAGTTGGATTATTATTAGGGGTCCACTACATTCCCGAGTTGTAATAGTATTGGAGGTTTTAGATATTTTTATATTTGGAGGATTACTTAATTAGTATTTCAAGAATTATTATTTAATTTCTTTTCATCTTTAATTAGTTATTCTTATTATTCTCGCATTCTATGCTTGTTTATATACTTAATTGTTTCGTATCCCTCGGATCTGTACTTGGACTTAATCACCCCTGGCTCTAGAATAGAGGGGTATCACACATCTCACAATTCTTTTGATATTCCTTAACATACCAGACTTACCTACTCACCCGTGACTAGGTATCCTTACGAGTCCAATCACAAATACACAAATAGATTATAATTACAAAATTAAGAAAGTGATAAATAAAAACAATAATATTTTTGAATTTTGTCCTAATTTAACATCACTATAAATAATCAAATTAGAAGGGAAAAAAGTATAGAAAGTAAACCAAAAATTAACATAGACTAGCACATTAATTTACAAATGTAAATATTTTGGACCCGTTTGGCATGCACTTTGTTTTGGACGTTTTAGTTTTTATTAAAACAAAAACAAGAAGCACGTTTGGGAATGATGTTTTGTTGTGGAAATGTCAGGTCCGTATTGCGCTACTTTTATGGTTTCTGGCTATGAACAGGTGTCAAAACAAGAAAAAACGTTTTTTTAGAAGTTTGAGTCACGATTCACTAAGTGTTTTAGCATTGTGTAAAATAAAATAACTCCGCACCAAATATATTTTTATTGTCAAAATCAACATTCTAAAAATTCAAAAATAAAAATAACATAAAGAAAACGGATACCAAAATAGACTATATTCCAAAATTAGTTCAGATTGGATGCAACACCAGACTTGTGTCTTTCTTCATTTTTACTACAAAGGACAGCAAGCAAGGAGAGTGGCCACATGTTCCAGCTAAGAATCCAAAATCAAGACAAATTTCCATAATTGGTGGGTGTGACATATTTATTTACCATGTTTTTTTTTTTAAGAACAGTGTTAGGCAATCATGTAATTGTCACAGTTCAAATCATTATTATTATTTTGGGTAAAAAAAAAAAAGTTCAAAATTTTCTAATTTACCAAAGAAAGTACATGGCATACTTTAATCAGTTCATTGAGACAAGTAAGGGACACATGTAACGTACAGACATGGTATGTCAACCCGTCAACTCCATAACCATCTCCATAAATTTTCTTCTAGCTCTTTCTACACTTCTACGTGCCTACACTAGCCAAAATAGTCCATCCCATCATACACCTGTCCAGTCTAAAACCATTTTTGAAAACTTATTTAATGTCACTCCCTAAAAATACTATTTTATCCTTATTCAGTACCTTATAATATTATACGTATAAGTACAATTTTTTTTACTCGGGGAAGGTGTGGGACCCATGGCCCAGTTGCCATCCCTACCTAGACGGTGTTTGTTAGTGGAAATGGCTTGGCAGTGGGGACCACTCCATAGGATTCAGTGGTTGCTACTCTTTTTATGAGTACCCCATTAGAAAGAAAGTGGTCACCAGAAAAAGACGTGTGCATTCATCATTCATCAAACAGCATCTCTTTGTCCCTTCTTTATTTATACAATAAAAAGCATATAGTAATCAATGATTAAAATCACATGCCACCATTCATCATCAATTCTCATTCTGATTTAAGTAAAGCTAACATCAACTAATATTATTCCCAGTCTCAACTAAATCAAGAAAAATATAAATTTTATAGAATTTCCATCTTCACATTGTAAACTATATTTATACTTAAACTTAATTCAATATATATAAATAATAGAAGAAAAAAAAAAAGAAAAAGAAAGGAATAAAACGAAGTAACAAACAATACAACAGTCATCTTTACAAAGACAAACAAAAGTAACACTGCCCACCTCATTTTTAATCCATCATTAATTACTCTCTCCCACCACTAATGCCAAAGATTACTGGGGTCCGTCGGTGGGTCAGAGCCCGGCGAGGAGGTGGTGGAAGAGTGACCCTTCAGCAACCAGCAATCCGTACTCACTCACTCACTCTCTCTCTCTCTCTCTCTCTCTCTCTCTCCTCCTCTTCTTCATGAGTGGTGGTAATAGTAACTTTCCTTGAAAAAGAAAAAGTATAAAGAAAAGAGAATTGAAGATTTACTGTTAAGAATGAACATGTACGGCGGTGGATCCAATTGTATTGAGCTCGAATTGCTTGATTGTTTTGGCGATCTTCTTCATGTTGTCATCGTACACAAAAGGGAGCTTATCTAACCAGGTCACACCCTCCTTTGGCACGAATTGGCGGCAAAGTTCAGTGTGGACAGTGATGGAGTTGTGGTAATGGTAGTATCTGATCTTCGTCTCCGTCTTGTGCAATGTACCGCCGACCACATTCTCCGACATGTGCACCCCCGTCGCGAATGCGTTCTTCGCCTGAATTGCGTATTTCCGATCTCGCCGGATCTTCGTACGGGAGTCCCTGAACAGCAGCTTCTCAAACCCCCATTGCCTGAAAATTAATCAAATTCACCATTTAAACACAACCCATCCACAATATACCCAAATCACAGAGGAAACACAAGTAATTGGTGATGAATTTGGTATTTGCATTATATAACCATATGAATACATCAATCTCAATCTAAGAACAGATAATTTAAGTAAAACGTCTTTTTTTTTGCTACAAATTAAGTTGAAAAATGAGTGAAAGTCATTGTCTATCACAATTGAGACCAAAATTGTTCGAATTTAAAAGAATAATTAAAGTAGGAATAAAGTGGATATACCTCGGATAGTCCTGAGTGGAATCGTTGAGGCAGAGCACACTGGACATGGCATTTTGCTCAATTGTGAACTGAGTCACATTTGAGAACTCGTTTAGAACCGACTCAAGAGTGTTCCCATCTGGAAGGAATATATATTCATCCACATCGAAGTAGAATGTCCAATTGGCGGCGTGTCGGTAGCGGTGGAGGCAATCGTTCACCACCAGGAACTGGTTGTAGTAGTAGCCATCGAACTCCGCCTGGCCTCGGATGTCCTGAACCGTAACCCTCCCAGCTCTGACCCACGGCTCGAGAACCGCCATCACCTCCGGCGAGACTCCTCCGGCGTCGTGGAACACGAAATGCGAACTGGGTCCGAAGAACCAGGCGTGGTACGCAATCCATTCCCTGATTCTCGCAGCGCTCAGATTCCCATACAAGGACGACCCACAGTACATGTACTCGTACTGATATGGTGGGTGGTACTTGGACTCGTTATACGTGTTGGGTGCTTCCTCCAACGCTGTGATCTTCTCGTATCTCTTCGGCGACTCGCCGTAGTAGGCGTACAGAATGAGCTTCCCGCCAGAATTGTCCTCGTTCGGGTTCACGGCGAAGGTACAGTTGACGACGACGACAGTGTAAACACGTCCATAGCCCCAATCGGGAAGCATTTTGAAGGCCTTGGCTTTGATTGAAGTCCCGTTGTTGGAGATCCACTCACATTTGTACCACGGACGGCCATAGACGTGAATGGGTTTTGAGGCGAGACCCACGACGGAGAAAGTACGGGGACCGCCGCGATAGGCGCCCATTTGGACAAAGAGAGCGGCGGCGTTGCCGTAGGTGCGGAAGAGGCGCTTGTTGGGGTCGGTGGTTATGGGGGTTAGGAGCTTTTTCTCAGCCAAGGCGGTGGCTGTAATAGGCAAGGAAGTAGCGGCAGTGGCGTTTAGGACGACGGTGGTGGTGGCGGCGGCGCAGCGGCTGGTGGAGGAAAGGATGTTGTCATAGTAAGGTTGAAGATTCCAGATGACCATGACGAGTGTTACGGCGAGCAATGTGGCGACTAAGGGCTTGTTTTCGAAGCAGAGGAATAGCTTGCCGACTGGGTTGCCGGAGGCGGTGGCCGGCGAACCGTCCTTCCTCATTTTTTTGGATTCCGGCGGCGATTTGTGAGGTCACTGAAACAGCTGTGGTTCTTTATCAGCGAAGAAAGAGATAGAAGTCAGACCGACAGTGTGGTCAATGTGATTTCCTCACACGCCTTCCTCTCTTCTAGGGCTTTTTCTTGTGATGGTTCGACTTTAAATATTGGATTCAGATCTCTTTCAAATTACGAAATTGCCACTTATGCCATTGTAATATTAAAAAAAGGAAAGCAACAAAATTAATAATAAAATTAGTTATTAAAGGTAAGTTAAGCGTTTTGGGGGCGTTATATATATTTTTGGTTGATATTAAAATAATTGGTTTCTGTTGTAAGAGTATTTTTACATAGAAATTGAAACTTTAAATTTATTTTGGAAAATTTATAAATAAGTTTTAGTCTTATACTGCAGTATCAAAAGTTGAAAACACACCTATCACAAATTTGGTAATATGAATTTGGGTCAAAAGATCTGATTTGTTATGAATTATTCTAAATCAATATTAACCGTTCCAAACATGATATTGACCTAAATTTAGAAGCCAATATCAAAAAAATAATATCATAACACATTCTAAACAGACCCTAAATATTATCTTTTTATATTTTTTCTTCGGGTAATTTACATAGACCTCTCATATGGTTTGCCATAATTACAGGCGGCATCCTTCTTATTTCAGAAATTACGCGGAACTCCCCTACTTTTGAAAATATCCTACACGGACCTCCCTTCTGTGAGAGTTAACGACGAAAAATGATGACATTAGCTACTATTTTTCATGAAATGCCGAAAATACCCTTACCTATATCATATATACTTGATATTATATATTAGATGTTGATGTCATGTATTAATTAAATAAAATTTCCAAAATACCCTCATCTTCTCCGTTACGTGTCTGTACCTGTGTTTTGATTTCTGTGAGTTGTATTCCTTATTCCTCATTATAAGCTTTTGTGTGTGTGTGTGTGTGTGTGTGTGTGTGTATAAATTATGTATAACACCTCCGGAGGATGCCTACCATTAGATTGAAACCAATGAAATCCACTGATGCTCTGTGCTTTTGAATTGGGTCTCTAAAATTGTTGCTCGATCTCACCGGATTGAAACGTGCCCAAACTGAAACTTGTGAAGCCCAAATTGAAACTGCGACAATTTTTCACTTGAGTCGGGCACAAATTAAATGATTCAATGCGGAAAATAGACGTGAAGTGGTTGTTTGGGACCATTAATAGAAATGCTTTGGGGGTTGGGCTGACTGATGATAAGTGACTCATTTTTAACATCAATTTCATTAATATATATACACACACACAGGGGTATTTAAGTCATTTATTATTGAAAGTTGAGGGTATTTCAGTAATTTTGATAGGTCCGTTAGTGTATTTAACGGTCCGTCACACATAAGAGAGATCCGTGTAGGATTTTTTTAAAAGTAGGGGAGGTTCGCGTAATTTTCGAAACAAGAAGAGTGTTGTTTGTAATTATGACAAACTATAGGAGAGGTCGGTATAAATAACCCTTTTTCTTCCAACTTATTCATTACATTTTAGTCAATTTCATATACAATAACTTGAATGAAGGTGATTATTTTGTTATTAGTGAAGTGATGAATCAATTTCTTCATGGGATGGTCAGAAATGTTAAAACATATGCATGCATATATCTAAGATTTTAACATTTTAGACCAATTACATTTTGTTGTTCATGAATAAAAATGAATTATCATAAAAGCAAAAATGAATTGACTAGGTCAAACTCGAACTGAGAAACTTTAGACTTATATATTTCTATTTATTAGATGAAGTGAATAAGATCAGAGAAATGAAATTTATCCTTTTATTCATTTCATCAAATTGATTGAGACTCCTAGACTAAAGTTTAGTTTTAGACTTTACAATTATTTATCCATCACGAAATTCTTTGAATCTTAATCAGTTGCATGTCATGATTTTAATTATATATATATATTTTTCCTTGTCATGATTTTAATTTTATATATATATTTTTTCCTTGTCATGATTAACTTTAGTTTGTGAAATAAATTCAACACAAATGTGATGTTAATATAATTATTTTTATTTTTGAAAAGAAGAAAAATTTATGTGTTCGCCTCTGGTTTATCATCAAAGATTAAATATAAAATAAGAAATTGGAACTTAATGTTATATAATTTAAGAACTTGAACCAAGCATGGTACAACAGCACTTGAACCAGGCATGGCAGAGTAAACGGTAAGTAAAATTTATCAGCTCATTGAATAGGAAAATATTACCATACGTCAAGTGAAAATGTTGACCAAAATAAACTAAAAAAACCAAAGCCATGGACAATTATATTCAAAACAGGTTCTCTTGGCCGACACCGATTATCGTGTTAATAAACATTGTGAATTAAAAAAAAAAAAAAATTAAAAAGAGAGAGAGAAAAAGAACAGTGTCGGTATTCCACTACTTTAGTTTAAATAAATGAGTTTATAGTTTAATAAAAAATAATTGTTTTTTTGTGTCAATAGTAAATTATATAATAAGATCACTATTAGGTTGGGTTCCACCATATAGAATTAGAATTTTGAAATTAAAATTAAAGAAAAATTTAATTCAATTTATTTATTTATTTTCTAATTTTACCAATTTCAATTTCATGTAACTTGAACCCAAAAATTGATGAAAAGAAATAATTTGATCCAACCAACTTTTTTTTTTTTTTTTTTTTTTTTTTCAAAGACAAAAAATATTAAAAATTAAATTTAATAGATACAAAGAGTCGAAATCTAACACTTTAAAATTCATCAAAGATACTAAATCACTCAACTATCAAGTTATTTTGCACTTTGATCCAATTGACCATTATGCTGGAAATGCACACATCCTAAATTTCTCCTAAATTATATTATAAAAAAAATCCATATTAAAGTGCCACCACAATAAACCTTTCATGAGCTTTTATTATTATAATTATGCATAAAATAAAGAGATATATATATATATATATATATATATATATATATATATATATATTAATTATAGGTGAACGCTTGTCTATTTATTTAAAAATTTGAATTGTTGGATAGTGCTGCATATCCACTCATTTATATTGAATTACTTTTTCATCTGAATCCGATATGAGATAAATGACCCTTATAATACTAAACCACTAATCACTTAATAAATAAAATAAAGACATTTATATAATCCACTATTAATAAAATTTGGTTAAAATTTCATTCACGTTGCGTAAGTCAAACTTATAGGTTGTTTTTCTTTTGTCTTAACTCGATTGGCGCATATTATTTAACTTAAAAGACAACTTGAGTTGATTTTTTATTTTTCAATTTTTATAATAAAACCATTTTAATATAAGATATAATTTGCCCGGTACTTGTCACTTGTGAAATGTTGTAAACTTGTAATTGAAAGTAGAGCCAATGTCAACTACAGTAAAGTCCAAGTCCAACCTCATTATAAAATACTACTCATTATTATATTATACTATAATGCAATTTGGGGACAGCTTTCCAAGAAACGTCCATACAACACTAACAGCACAAACGAATCTTCTTGTGTTATTAGTGAGGAACAGCTCCTTCAATGCAGATACAATTAAAATAATAAAACAATTCATTCGATAATCTTCTTTTTTCAGTGTAAATTTTATTTCCGGATTAGAAAACTAATAAAGTTTTGTGGTTTTTTTTTTTTAAATGTAAAAAATATATAAAATAGTAAAGTAGTGTTGTGTCCAAGAAATTGCAGTGTCTTGGCTTTTGGTGGTGAAATAATTGTAGTATAATCAGCGGCATATTTGGAGTTGAATGGGCCACCGAATCCGGAATGACTGATCCGTTAGGCCCAGATATGTTTGAACCACTTCATGTTACTAACTTGTTGGTGCTCTTGCATCCACTCATAGCAAATTCACAATCCAAAGATGTTACACCACATGTTAGATGTGAAATTTTTTTGTAACATGTTATTAAATAATATTTTTATGTAACATATAATGTCTAACAAAAGTATTTTACTCGTTTTGAAATGATTATATAATAAAATTAAATTATTGTAAGTACATGTCTAATCAAAAGAGTCGGACACATATTTATATCTTTGCTGAAGTATTATATTAAGTGGAACACGAGTATTTCACATAATTATTTAGTCATGTATGTAAAGAGAAGAAATATATAAATATATGGCAAAAAGAGTTTTGTGGTAGTGCTTATTTTCCAAAAATTGGTTGAATTGAGTTAAGATAATAAAAATAATAATGAATAATTTGAAAACTCTTTAGGATCAATATATATATTTTTTAAATGTGTTTGAAAATAAATTAACCAAGAATTGTTTTTTTTTTTTGTTTTTTGTTTTTTTCCCCTCTATTTTCAATTTTCATATTTTTTAAGAATTATTTTAAGAGAGTTAAATTACATATATCCTTAACTTTTCTAATGCGAAAATTATGGTAGAACTTCGGTAACTTATTATTTTATGCAAATGAGGATGATCTCACTAACATAGATACAATATAATACATTCAATTTTCAAATTTTGCATCGTAATCTCCGAATTTACTATGAAATGCAGTCCTGTACTCGGACGCAAAGTGGTTTCTCAAGTAATGTAAAATCCAAATATTCTTAAAATGAGGGTTTGTCAGCTACTTGATTTTGTGCTTTTCCGGTTTTCTATGGTTAGAAGCTAGCACCACCCATATTACTAAATATATATATATATATTGCATTATTCATTTGTATATAAAAGGTAGTATAATAGAGAGTTATATGATTTAGGCGTACGCTTTTCATTGATTGCTTATGTTGAGAATATGAGTTGTCATCTCAAGCCTTTCGGTTGGATTGAATTAGCGGTGCACAAAACGTTTGACCAAACACTTCAATTTGAAAGAAAATGACAGCTTATATATTGGGCGTCACATGAAAGAGACCTGGATTTATATTTTTATCTACCATATTTAGTGGAACATATGACCGTTAAAATACTTATGTTGTTGCTACTGAAATTCGGGTTGGAACTCATTTCGCAATATGTGTTTTATGTTAATGGTTGGTATAACGCGTGTACATATCAGAAAACCTAATTTCGTGGAGAATTATTT